CATCACTTAATGTCCAAATTTATTTAAATCATCCTCAGACACAGTCCTACAATATATGAATCACATTTGGGGGGTTTTCCCTCCGACTTGTCAGCTGACTCGTTTATGATTGACAAGATTTCCATTTTAGCAATTTCTACTAATTCTGCTTCAAATCTGTATATTTAATGAACACACCAATCGGTAGCTCCTTATTAGTCAGGACCATTTTTTCGAGTGTAATGCGCTGATTTCGTAATGTATTGTACATGGTAGCTGCCTCTAAATGAAACTCAAAGGAAGCCTTGTCCGATTCGCATTAAAACAGTATCTGGTATATGAATACGAACATTTTATCCCAACCGGGGTCTCACCTTTATGCACATGAACACTGTTTTGCATGATCCCATCAGACTCTTAAACACAAACCAGGCTTTTTCTTTGTAAGGTATGTGGAACTGTATGTCTCTGCATAAAGACAGGGGGGAAAAAACAGTTTGCCTGCACCGGAAAACACACACACACACACACAAACACACACACTCCAACTTCTCCAACACAAACACAATCTGACACATGCTAAAAATTGCCTGAAGCACTGGCGAGTTGCAGATCTTCTTCCTGGGGCAGGTAATTCATTAGGAAAAAATTCATGTCCTATGTACCAATTGAACAGGAAGATTTAGCTGTGGTGCTATCAGAGGAGAAGGGGAAACAGGGTTTCTTTCGGAGAACCCTGCGGTAGATGCCCATCGTAAGCATTGCAAATGAATCCTTAGTCTTCATCCTCCTGCAATCTAGGTCAGGATGGAGCTAAAGAGGAGGGCTTTTAAATCTGCTTCAGGGCTCAGGTTGGATCTGCTTATGTGAGGGGACAAGCGGCAGACAGTTACCTTGTGATGAGGCACTTGGAGGGAGATAGGAAATGCTTTCTCCTCATATAGGGACCTTTAACTGACCTAGAGAGTAAATCGAGAATCAGGAGGGGCTGTACTTTCAGATGAATGCCACTTACACACACACACACACACACACACACACACACACACACACACACTACTTTTCCCTAAGCTTTCTGTGTTCAACTTTACAGGCCTCAAATAGTGCCTGCCAGATAGATTCTAAAAAGGATACACTATCTTCCAGACTCAGGAACATGTGGATTTTTTTTAAACAGTGGAATCATACCCTACTTGTGTTAAAAGGAACGTTAGAAGTCATCACTCCAAGCACCTCATGTTGAAGAAAAGGATATGAAACAAGAACAGAGAGTGACTTACTTGCCCAAGGTCACACAGTCGCCTTCATCATGCCACCGTTTAATTACTTTCGGGTGTTTGTTTTTTAGATTCCTTTTTTGTACAATAGGAATAATGTATTAAATAATACAGGAACAAAACAAATTGACTTGGTAACTGCCACCTGATAAACTGGATATGTGTCAGAGACTCCTGTCACATGCCTCATCCTTCCCCCCAAATGACTGTGAAAGGATGCTATTTCCCAGACCTCCCCTGTCTGGGGTCCTTCTTCAAAACCTCTCGCTCTAGCTTTAATGTGATTATCTTCTAGGCATGTTGTGGCACTGGGTTCGTTTAGCCAAAGGCTCTGAAACTTCTGTGCGGCTCTTGCCCATCCCTCTGAGGCCACAAGAGACTGGCGGTGTGTATTTCCCTAAATTTGTTCTGAAATATCACTCGCACTAGAGAAACTTAAATTTAAAACAAAAACAAAAACTTGATTTTCAAAATTAAACCCAAGCTACACATTCAACGTACTTGCTAGGACCGGTTGGCTATTTCTTTTACTTATCAAAATTATAAGGAAACTTTAAGTTCAAACATGATGTGAGAAATATAAACAGGCAAGAAATGAAGAGAACTGGATTTGTTCTTAACTTTCCCACTGAATTTGCTACAAACCATCCACATAGTTCAGGAAGGAAATGTTCCTGCTCTCTAGGCCTTGTTTTCCTCTTCTATTCAAGAAAAAAAAAAAAAAAATGATGTCTGGGGTTCCATCATTAGTTATGCCATTCCAATATTATCTCCAAAACTGTTTCATTTTTATTTTTTCTCTGAAAGCCACCGTAACTGCAGAACTGTCTGTAGCTGTTTCCAAAGACGGAAACTGACATTAAAGGAACACGGCAGTATCTGCTAATTTTAAGCTTTTTGAAGGAGGTAGTTTCACTATTGAAATAATTCTCCAAAACAGTGTTGATTGACTTTGGACTAAGAGCTTATGAATCTACCTTTCTAAACAGTATTTTCCCCCCATTTCGTGTTCCATATTGATTTGTAAGGGTCCCCCCTCGGTCCCCCCTTTTTTTTCTTACTTTAAAATATTTGTTAAGGCCAGATAAGAACTGGGGTATGGAGCATGCTGTATGCTTATGCACAAAAGATAAGTGAGAGCAAGCCTGGTTCTTATCTAGCCTGAACACTTCAGTAGAAACAGAGTTTTGTATTCCGTTTTCCCGGCCACCACTACTTGAAGGTGATAGAATATTCTATTTGGGACACCTTTAAAAAACTAGGAGCACGTTTAAAAGCACTGCAGAGTGTTCGGTTATTTTGATTTCTGCCACATAATGAATCCCTCCTCCTGAATGCAAACACCAGCAAGGAATGCGTTAGAGGATCCGCCATCGTATTAAAAATTAAATCCGGCTGCATTTCATAATGGGCTTTTCTTTTTAAAGCAAGGTTTCATCTTCTCACCATGGAAATTGCGCTCTGATGGCCTTTCTTTATGGTTAACACTGAGGCATCAGCTGAGGTCAGAACCCTGCTTCTCTGAACAGGGAACCACAAATGTCACCGACACATGGTACACTTGGCAAATAATATATTTCTTTCCAATCTCCTGTGTCTTCAGTTTACCTCGCATCAAGCTTGCGGTAAGTCGAAGAGAGTTTATTTCTCCTATGTTCCTTCCTTCCTCTGGTGGGACCAGCCGGGAGGCACGCAATTAATTTACAATGAATTCGAAAGTACACCTCTTTTGGTTTTTGTTGTTGTCTTTATTTTAACCTCCAAGAAGGAAGAGATTTAACTCAGTCTTCACCCTAGGCTAAGCTAATACTTAGGTCATGTCTGAGCTCTCTGGGGAACCCCCGCTTTATACCATCCGAGGGGCAATGGTGTCTTTTCACGTGGAGCAGCACAGCTGTCCAGCCATATGGGCCCCAAACAGCCCAGTCAATCGGATTTGGGGAGGTTTTAGAATGTAATTTCTTAACGTGTTAGTATTTGGGGTGAGTTTGGTCAGGAGTATAGACAGCTCTTAAGCCCCAGGGTTTAGGTTTTAAGAAGCCATCACAAATGCCCCAGCATCTGATCTGACTGTTTAAAAACAGATATGAAATCTGTGACTGGGGGAGGGGAAAGGACTCCTGACCCCCTCATAGGAGAAAGCCCCAGGGGTCTTCTCTAACTATTAATTCAGCATCAGCTGCTTTCTCTCCCCCCCCCTCCCCTCCACCCACCTCCCTTTTCTTTTTTAACCCGGGGCTCATCATTTAAGGCGTTCCCACTCAGGCCTGCAGAGCCTGTTACAAAACCATCGCCGGCTCCCCTCCCCCCATGCCGCAAGATGAGAGAGCAAATAGCCTGCATTGCAGCAACAGCCTGGAGGACTGCTATGAAACCGTCCTCCAGCCACACAAAACCAGGCCTTGAAGAAAAACCAAGGAGAGGGCAGCAGCGGTATGTCCTGACGCCCTTCGGTCAAGACAACCTGAAACTCTGGTCGCAGCCCCATCCCTCCAAGTCCAAAGGGTTCCGGAAAGGTCTGCTTCAGGAATCTTTAGTGACTAAGAACACAAACAGTCCTAAATCTAAAACCCTAGTCAACATGGTGGAAGTCTTGAGCTAAGCGACCGCCCATGTCGTTTTTCCACCAGAAAGGTATTTTAGTTTGAGGGGAACGTTATCAGAATGTTAAGTTTTCCCCGAAAAAAAAAAAAAAAGAAGAAAAAAGGCCCAGATGATGGCTCTTTCCAACTAACTGCCGTCTTCAGAAATTGAAAAATGCATTGCAAGGATGTTTTATATTCGTTTCTTCTCCTCTCTCGGTCTCTCTCTCTCTCTACTTCTCCCTCAATTTAAACCAAAGCTCTCCGCTTCTTCGAATTTACAAAAACTGCTTATTTTTAAAGCTTTCCGTGGTACTTTGTTGGAGGCAAAAAGCTAGTGCTAAGAGGTTTTGAAATCGCTGTCATTCTTTTATTGGGACAAATACCCAACAATTGACAAGAAGCGAAACGGCCTTGAAGCGAGCCGGGCAGCGCCCAGGGTCACCATTCATTCGGACGGCCCCCGCGGGTGGGCGCGCACCTGCGGCGACCCCCGCAGGATCGCTTTGGCCGCCGCGCACGGGCCGTCTGATTTGAGCACCAGCTTTCAGCTGTCAGGGGCTTGTCTTCCTCTCCATCTCTCGTTGCTCTGAATCTAGCGCAGCTCAAGAAACACTTAAGATGCCCCCCCCCACCCCCCCACCCCCAGTCATCAAAGAAGAAAATCTGGAATAGGAAAAGCAGCGATGGGCCCTGAGCGGGCGGAAATCTCCGGGGCTGGGGTTGACTCCCGCAGCTACTGAACGGAGTCTTCGGAAATACCGCAGATTTCTCCTGGCTGGCGCTGGGTTTTTAGCGGGGGTGGGGCGGAGGTCGAGGCCGGGGGCGTCCTAGGGTTTTGTTCTTACGGGCAGATTCATTCTGAGGGCTTCCTTAAGGCCTAGCTAACTCCGTGCTCCCGGAAAAACACACCACACCGCCAAAACCTCCACAACAAAAGGCGCTTTCCCGAAGTGAATCTCAATGTCCGCGGGACGGGTGGCGGCCGGACGTGGAGGCGCACTTTGTGCCTCTAATCTCCAGCGTCCATCTGGCCCGGGCGGCCGGCGGGGCGCCGAGGGCTGGGATGGGGGAGCCGGGAGGGGCACGCGCACGCATCCAGAGACGCGGGCACGCGCGCCCACTCTCCTTCACATTCACCTTGACTGCAGGGGTGCGGGGGATGGGACTGCTTTACCCCCGCTTCCACCTACCCTTCTTCCCACCCCCCGCCGCTGTCCTGCCCAGACGCCTGCTTGGGCGGAGAGAGGGGGTTGGAGGTGAGGAGGTGCAAAGGCGCTCGGAGCGGCGGGACAGCCGCGCGCTCTCCGCAGTGATGTCAACCGCATCCGCCGCATCGTCCCCTCACCACCTCCACCCCGGCCTCGCCCGCGCCGCGGCCCGCGGAAACCTTGGGGTCGAGAAGCAGAAGGCGTGCGGGTGCCCTGAGCCCCCCACTCCATTTGCAAACGTGGGAGAGACAGGGAGTGGACCAGCCGCGCTGCCGCAGCTCCCGGTGCGGAAGAAGGGGAAGGAGGAGAAAGGGGCGGTGGGCCCAGGGGTAGTTGGACGCCCCAGGTCCCGTGGGGGAGTCTGCCTGGAACTGGTGCTGCCGGGTTTAGATCAGGGGCGCAGGGCACGGACCCCTGCGAGTGTGGCGCGTGTGGGCACGGAGAAAGCTCCCCCTTCTCCCAGGATAGAAACGGGTAAACGGAAGCGCATGTGAGTGTGGGGGTGCACCTCGCCGCCTCCAGCTTTGGCTTTCCCGCTCTTCCGAGCGCTCCCACTTCTCACTTTCCCCAGATCCGCATTTTCTTTGGCACAGCTCTCCCCGAGCGAGAAGGAGAGGGAGGTACCCGGGGGCAGTGAGAATGACGTGTGCTGGTGCAGAGAGGGGGTGGGGGGCTGCGGGCCGGGCTCTGTGGACCGGCTCCTAATCCTCTTGTTTTCGGTACAGTCAGCAGATGTGGCTTCTTTTAGCTGAATAATCCGTTAAAGGAATAATAATTTTTTTAAAAAAAGGAGATTCGGCCGCACCCAAAGAGGACGGCGGACGAGATGAGGGCTTGGTAAGGATCAATGAAAAGGCTCCAAATTCTCTGTCCCTCTCTGCCTGCCTCTCTCCCCTCCTTCCCCTCCCTCCTTTCCTCTCCCCTCCCCCCTTCTTCCCCATCCCCTGCAATCCCCACTCGACGCGAGTTCACGCAGAGGGCTGGGTTTCCAGGCTGAACCGCAACTTGCGCTGCGCGTTATTATTATTCATCTGAGGCTACTGCCGCCACAACCTTTGCTCCTGCGCTCCTCTCCTTCCCCCCCGGCCGCCGCCGCCAGCGGTGCAGTCCCTCCTGCCCGCCAGCTCTGGTCACCAAAGGGAGATTCGGAATTTTTTTTTTTTATCATGCTCATGATCTTCACGATGCTCCTTATCACGGTTATCATTTCCTCCTGCTAGGTGGAGCGACCGGGCGCGCCTTCCCGCCGCCCGCCCCTTCCCCCGGGAAGGGGCTCTGGCTGCCGCTCCCTAGATGTGCCTTCCGCTCTGCATCCCTCCCTCTGTCATCTGTCTGTCTATTCTCTCGGTCCCTTTTATTCCAGTAGATCTGCTGCCTTTCGTTCGGCGGGGCTGACACGCTGCGGACTGCAACCAGTCTGTGAAGAAAGAGGAACAACAAGGCAAAGACCTGGAGTGGTACCCCCGGACAAAGCACTCGGAGCTCGGCGAGAAGGGGTGCGCGAGAGCGCTGGCTCGGGAATTCGCGAGATCTCCGACGCCCAGGGCGCCCGCCCGCGCCGACCTCTGAGGGTATTCACATTGAATTGCATCTATCTTTTCGGTGTGTTGGGGCAGTGTCCGTGTTGGGGAGGCGTTGGGTTTGTTTTTTCTGGGAAAGGGAGCTGGGTTGTGGGAGATCAGATAGACTTCGCTTCGCTTTCCCGCTCCCCTGCCTCACCTTGTGGAGGTCTGAGTGTTGGAGGAGAAACTGGGGACCAGAAGGCTTAGGGCAAAGTGGGAGCCCGAGACGTTGTCTGGAGGGCTGGGGCAATAGTGGGGCGAGGGAGAGGCCAGAGGGGACGGGCCAGTTAAAGGGGACTGCGAGAAGAAGAGGGGTCGGGAGGGTAAAACCCCTCTTCGAGTTCACGATATGAGTCTTGCTGGGGATGTGAATACGGGCGGCTGTCATAGGCGGCTGAGAAACTGATGAAAATGCGATCTGTCCATGTGCACACAGAAGGAGGCGTTTGGGTTTGTGTGTAAACAGAGTGGAGAGGTGGAGGGGGCAGGGAGGGAGGGGGCTTCGCATCATATCTTATTATCCCTTTGGCTTCGGGGACTCTCCTCCTCCGGCCCTCTCCCTTTTTGGATCCAGGGAGACAGCCGCATTAGACGCGAGTGACCTTTTAAATCCACGCCCGCCCCTTACCTGGTAAAACCCGTTGACAGTTTGGGATGGGGTGGGGAGAGGGGCAGGGGTGCTTCGAAGACATATATATTTTCTCTCTCTCTCTCTCTCTCTCTCTCTCCCCCTCCCCCGTCTCCTCCCTAGCTCTGCCCCCCCCCACACACTCTTTCCCTTCCTCCCTCCCACCGCCCTCCCTCCTCCCTCCCTGCTGCATTTTGCATGAGCTATCTAGGTCATTAGCATTTTAGCGTATGCAAGACTTGACAAAGCTGATGAGGGGCCAGATGGGCCTCGCTCTTATGGGTTTTTTCTTTTCTTCTTCTTCTTCTTCTTCTTCTTCTTCTTCTTCTTCTTCTTCTTCTTCTTCTTCTCTCTCTCTCTCTCTCTCTCTCTCTCTCTCTCTCTCTCTCTCTCTCTCTCTCTCCCTCTCTCTCTCTCTCTCTCCTTTTTCCCCCTCCACCACTTGGGACCTGAGAGAGGACCGCAGCAGGCGGGTCCGGGAAGGCTGGTTCCCGGATCCCTGCCGCGGACCAGGGCGGCTCACTCAGCGGCACGCCCGGCCCCGCTACGCCTGGACTCGGCCGGCGAGGTAAGGGCGGCGGTGGTGGCCCGGCCCGGGCAGCCGCAGTCGCGCCCCCACTGCCCTCCTGGTCCCCCTGCTCTGGTCTTGACCCTCCTAACCCCTTCAGTTTCCTAGGCCAAGCCGACGGCGAGATGGGTGGGTAGGGCTGGCCGCGCTGGGGCGAGGTGGGGTTGATGTTTTTTTCATTGTCTGGAGCTGCAGGGGAGGCGAGGCGCGGGGAAGGGGCGAGGGGAGTCCGGGTAATTAACACGGGGGAGGCACCCCTTCGCCTCCCACTTCCACTCACGCCCTCCACCCCCTCCGCTTTGCAGGAAAAAGCCTGGATCCGAAAGGATGGGGGAGAACAAAGAGCCTTTGGAAGACGTCGCCGTTATCTCATTGTCTGAGTGACTGGGGGAGCTGCGGTGGAGAGGATGCTGTGGTCCTTCCTCCCGGCGCTCCCCCACCCCCACCCCTCTCCCCGCTGTCAGTGCGCACGCACCAGCGCCGCTTTTTACTTCTTTTTCCCTGTTTGGTTTTTGTGTGTGTGGTGTGTTTTTTTTTCCATTCCATCTTCTTTCCCATCCCCTTTTATTTCTTCCACCTTTCCTCCCTCCTCGCCTTCCTCCGGAGAAAGGCCTCTCTCTCCGTGTTCACAGCGGACCTTGATTTAAATGTCCATACAATTAAGGCACGCGGTGAATGCCAAGAATGGGGCCGGCTGAGCGCCGTGGTCCGTGAGGACCCGCCAAGGAAGGAGCCACGGAGCCGAGGCGCCCTCCGCAGAGCCCAGCGCTGCGGATTCAGGCTGGAGGGGTCCCGGGCTCCCGGCCGCAGGAGCCCTTGGCGCGGGGAGGTGTGTGATGTGTGACAGACCGGGGCTGAGAGATGCGAACGGACTCGGGGAGAGAAACCGAAGCTGCTTCTGTGATCAGCGCAGATTTGTGCGAGCACCGAAGGGCGGTGGGGGTGGGGGGAGGCGGGGTGCCTGTGAGCGCATTGCGGAGTGCTTCTGTGTGCCTATTTTTCTCTAGGCTTGGGTGCATTGTACGCGGGTGGACCCTTTTCTCCGTGGCTGTGTTTTTGTTCCGGGCTTAGCTTTTGGTTTGCTCTTTTTAAAAATAATCTGGCATCCAGAAGACTGGCCGGCTGTGCCAGGGCTCGGACTGCGGCTATATTGTGTTCTGCTTGAGATCTGGGGGGAGGGAGGGAGCCCGTTGGGAGGGAGGAGGGAGATGTTTGTCACCTTTTGCTGTAGAGCTGTGGGCACCTGGCTAGCTTAAGGAAGTCATTGGGATGTATGGGGAAGAAGGAACGAATTCCTGGTGGGTCCAAGGCTCCATCAGGGCTGAAAGCATGGCCAGGGCTCTCGGGAGCATCTCACTTCCTCCTTGTGGCTGTAATTGCAGTTTTAGGCAGAGATCCAAGAGATGCGAAGGAAGGGAGAGGCGCAGTAACCTACACGTACCCAAGGGGGGGGGGGCATTCCTTTTAAAATCCTAACGGAAGGAAAAACAGAATGTGTACAAGTGAGGCTCTGAGGAAAGGCTGTTTTGAAAAAAAAAGCATCAGGGAATGCAAAGGGTCAACCCTCCTTCATCCTGAAGAACCGGCTTCCCAAATGGGACCTTCCCATCACTGGACCTAGAGCAGCAGCTGGTCCTAGGGACCCCCGTCACACAGCCCCACCCCATCCCCTGCTCTGTGGTGACCCCCAAGCTGCGGTGGAAGGCGGCAAGACCTAAACTCATTAATTTTCTGGTGGAGAACATGGAGGAGGGGCAGGTCCCTGCCGAGAAAAGAGGCCAAGAGCTGGATCTTCCTACCCAGGAAGCCTGCTGCATCGCTTCCTCCCCTCCACTCCCCCCCCCCCATGCCCTTAGCAGCAGAGGCCTGTCTTTGCAAGGCCAAGGCCATAAGGATGCTTAGGACTTTAGTTTGATTACTTACACAGTAATCAAGGCTGAAGAGGCTCAGTTGTAGCTTACTGAGGAGCTCTTTCCTCTCCAGAGCCTCAGTCTAACCCACTAAATAAATTAGTATTCAAGGATATCCTAGCCTCATTTCCTCCCAAATATTTATTGAGTACCTACTATGTGCCAATCATCGTGTAATTAATATTTCTGATGTTCTTCCTTTGCCCTCCTAAGAGGGTGTCTGGCGAGGTTAAGTGTGCCGGACCCCACCTAGATATTTCCAGAACCGTCTCTGGGCCTGCAGAAAGGTGCAGCAAACTGCTCACCCCTGCGAGGAAGGCTGCGGTTCACATCATGCAAACTGCAGGTGCGGGCTGTTCCTCAAGCCCCAGAAGGCGAGCTTAGCTGGAGGGCAGAAGAGAGGCAGCTTCACTGGCCCCTGAGCCTTAGCCAGGGTTGTCCTAAGAGGCACTGGCAGCCCTGCCTGCAAAATAGACCTCCCTCCAAACAGTGCCTCCTTGGGGTGTACCTTCCCTGGCCTCTCCCCTCCCTCCTCGCTGAGAGGCTGCCGGCCCATGATGACCAACCGCTTGCCCCTCAGTTGTCCACATTAGTGAGCCTCGTCTCCATAATTGCTTGCCCGTAATTCCATCAGACATGGCTGCACCCTTTGCTGATGTGCCTGCTCAAGTAATGTCCCTTTTAGTTGGAAGCCTAACACACTTCTTCCTGAGAGCTGAAACCGCAGGCACCATGGACAAGATGGCCAGGGTCCTGCTGCCGGTAATCTGCCATGGGAGGGGCGTCTCTTTATTACTTATGTAAACTCTTGCTTTCAGAAAGCTTTAATGTGTGTGGGGATTGTCCTGTGCTCACCAAGTCTCATTACACAATGTGTTTTTATGTGGGGCTTTCATGGCCGAAAATGGCCGAGATGAATGTACCACTCTGCCCCCTGTGTAATTCCAAGGCCCCTTTTGTGATTTCCAAATAGAGGTTTTGGAGTGAAGGTCAGTCCTGGCTTCTTCCCTTCTTCTACATTTGGGGCCTATTTGTCTGAGATATTTATGTAAGAGACTTAAAGAGCTCTGCTTTTCCAAGGCATTTATGTAACTCTCAGCACCATCTTTTTCCCTATTTGAGCTTCTCTAATTACATCCAACGATTTAAGTGAAGGGGGACATATACGATTTGTTTAATGTAGAACATGTCGGAGGCGGTTTGCTGACAATATGCTAGGAAGGCCCGCACCGGCTCACACACGGTACCATCATTATGGTCCTCATGAGGGTGGGAGCTCATGTTTCTCAAGGTGAATGTACCAGATACTTTAAGATGGATTCAAAGTAAAAAAAAAAAAAAAAATGGTAATATTCTTCTTTCCCTGCCAGTGATGGCCCAGGCCCAGATCTCTGTTTAAGCAGAAAGAAAACTGATCAGAGACAAAGGTAAATTCCTCTATCAATTCTGTCACCAAAGGGGTGTAAAAAGTGGGGACAGTTAACTGTGGACGCATGAGGAACCTTAGCCAGAGAAATGTTTGGGAGAGGGGTAATTTCTCAGCAGGCATATGCTCATATACACACACACATACATACATACATTTTTTTCCGCATAACCATACCCCTTGCTAATATTTACAGAAAAGCATTTAACCACACACACACACCCATCCATCGATACTGTCTCCACAGGGAAATAAATTTTGTCCTTCCCTCGACTGAACTTACATAACACCCCCACCCCTTGTTCCAACCTGAGAATGGAGTTCTCTGGGGGCAGCTGCAAAGCATTCTCCCTGGGACAGATGGAGCCGCCCTTCCTCCTCTATACTGTGGGTGGTTTCAGAACCCCATGAGTCAACAGCAGCTGAGGGCTGTGATGGAGCCTGTGTGTTGGAGGCTTGGCTGGCTGATTCAGGGTGATGAGTATGTCAATAATAACAATTATGAGAATGATGATACCTAATAAAGATTTTTTTTTTCTTCCAATCGACAATTCTTTCTTTGGGTGTTTTTGCCAAGCCTTACTCCATTTGACTTCAGTTTTAGGATACGGAGATGTAATCTTTAACTGCATCTCCAGTGTGGACATAGGATAGGAGAAAGGACTTCCGATGGGCTTTCTGGGAGCCAGTGTGTGCTGTCCTGGGCCACGGAATTCGGGTCTGCCAGAGGCCTGGAGAGATCTGCGCCAAATTTAGATGGCCTGGAAAGAAAGCAGGCCCTCCCGGGAGCAAGGAATGTTCCAGGTCAGAAAGGAAGTGTCCGTAATTCTCAATCGGTTTACCTGCTCATTTTCTTAACCTCTTTTGTCTTAAAATGCAAATGTTAATCGCCTCTCCCCCCCCCACCCCCCCCCCACCCCCCCGCCAAAAAAGAAGACCTGGGTCATGCTGCATTGCGTTGCATAAGCTCAAAAAGTAAACCTCCAGGAATCACAAAGGGCTTTCTCAAAAGTGAGGGAGGTTCATTCAAAATTAAAATCTAATTTACTTAGTTCTTAACCATGGGACCCAGGAAGCAATCTTTTCTCAGGAAGTTAAGTTTGCTGCTTCGTGTAATGTTTTTAAAGCGGTTCACGGTGGCGATCAGAGTGCTTGGGCCCTGCCCCTGGGTTGGGGTGCCCGGCTCGCCCTTGCCACCCACCCTGCCCACCGTCCCCTCTCGGGCTTCCCAGTGACCGGGTTTCCAATGCACATGAGGCCTTTGTTTTCTTCCTCCGAATGCCCTGAGACATTTAAATTGAGTAAGATGAAGATGAACAGGCGCTGGCTTTTTGGCTCCTATTTTCCCAGCTTTGATTAATTTTTTTCTTGCCCAAATCAAGAAATTTGGGAACCCAAAGACCTGGGTCATCCATCACTTCTCAAAGCTCCGGACTGATACGAGGTGCATGCAAGGGCAAGGACAGCCCTCGGAGAGTCCAGCTTTTTTCCTGTTCCGCGCATCTCCGTTTCCCCAATTTCACTCTAGCGCCAAATAGACACCTGGCAACAACCTTTGGACCTGATCAGGGAATCGGGTTAGGAATGGGGAGTGGGTCAAGGCGGGGTGCATCTTTGGCTTCAGAAAGGCAGGCGCCGAACCAAAGGCCTTGTTTGAATGAATGTCCTCCCTCCCCGCGCTCCCGAGCCGAGCGCAGGCCTCGGCCTAGACGCCGCGTCCTCCCCGCTGCGCTCCGGGACCGTCTGTCCTTCTCCCCTTTCCCACCCCGGGCCTTCTCATCCACGACAGCCTGGAGGACAGCACCCCGCGCCCCAGAAAGCCTCCGACTGTGCGAGCACAGGGGCGGATGGAGGTGGCGAGGGGATGACGACCCGCCGAAAAGTCACTTCTTAGCCGCTCCCTGGCCCCCTCCCGCAGAACGCAAGGATGAAAGCACTGTAGTGGTTTGGGGGATACGGAGGATTGTTTTTCGCCCCAGTGCATCCTCCCTGACTCCCCTTTACACCACCCAACCTCCTCGGTCCTCCTAACCCTCGGCGACAGGGCCGGGCGCCGGCCGCTGCCCTTGGGACCCAGCAACCCACCGCCCCCAGCGACGCGTCCTTCCCACCCCCACATCCCGCTCTAAGGAGCCCAAACAAATCCCTCTACCCAGAAGGAACCCACGCGTATCTCCTTCCGTCAACGCTGGTCCCACGCCCTACGCCAGGGGAGATGGGCCGCTTCAACGCCGGTGGGAAAGAGAGGACCAGACAGGCTCGTTCTGTGTTCGGGAGCCTCCAAACCCCAGCTCCTGTCCCAGCCCAAAGAGGGGCGGCCGCTCCGGGGCACTGGACACGGTCTCTGTTCTTAAAAGAATTCCATTCCTTCTTTTCGCTCATCGGCTGGGCCCGCCAGGGTGCAGAGTTACTGATGTAAGGCTCCTTTGGCTTAACAGGCCAGTGCCCTGAAATAACCTTCAGAGCCCTGGTCTCAAGGTCATGTGCCCCAGGAAAGGGGGCGGGGGGACCGTTGGCCTTCCGAGGCCAGAGGTCAGGACCAGACCGGGCCTCACAAAGGTCGTGGCACCGGAAGCTCCTGACACACT